CATCTGGGCTAACTTAATGACTCTGCGTTTGAAATAACCAAATAACCGTTGGTGTGTGTGTGTGTGCGTGTGTGTATGTATGCGTGTGTGTATGTGTGTTTGTGTGTATGTGTTTATGTGTGTGTGAGTGTGTTTTTGCATAAAAATGATACCTGAGTGATGCAGATGAACTTAACCTTCGTAATAAATTTCGTTTTTAAATATCACAAGTTTTTAGAAGAGAGTACGTACAGTTTAATACAAGCATTGCAAGCCTCGAGCGTATAAATTTAGTACAAGTGCTTGAAGAATAAAATGTATAAGATTGCGTGGGCAACAAGTACTGCAGCCCCGTACTTGTTTGTACGTGTGCACTTGTTTGCGCTGCATCCACTTGTCTTTATGTTTACTTTAATTAGTTTTCTGCATCTGTAAACAGGGCACACGTCGTCAACTCACATTATAAATTTGCATTTTTAATCACAGTTGCCTGCAAACGGCAGCATTTTCGAAAAAATTTCACATTTGAAAAAAAAATGAAAGGGAAATCCCAGTGCTTTCATATTGGCTGACTTGTTCCGTCACATCTCTCACTGTTACTCTAATTCTCAGTCAGTTTTTATGAAAATTTCATTTCCGGCGGTGTTAGTTAGTAAAGTTGTTTTCGAACACTTTTCCATAATTGGTTGATTCATTTCTACTACCTTAATTGTCAGAACACCTTTACTGGAAAACCATATTTGTGAGAATGTTTTTTGTGTATGTTTTTTTGAAATATTCAGTTTGTAATCAATTTCCACAAAACAAGTAATGTCGAATCCAGATGTTCAGCAGTAGTGACATGAAACGTAGAAGCAAAACATTCTCAGAATAAAATGTGTTGGTTTCACCAAAAAGATGATAAATTTCGATTGGAACAATTTGTTGGTGCGTGGTGAACATTCAAAACAAAGCAAACTTTAGATACTATTATTAACGTATTTTTAACTGAACTGCTCCATGCAGCAGCTGTTCCTACTTCAATAGCAGACTGCCGATCCAAACACAAATTGTTTTGCAATAATTTCTAAAATTTAAAATCAAGATTTGAGATGTTTCAGCACCTGTTCTAGAGACAGTAACATTCGCGAATTTGTAAAACCGTTTTCAATTTGAAACAATCAGTGTGTATGAAAGAACTCCCAAATTTAAATTTGCCACCGGGTCGAATTTTCATTCTTATACCTTACAACTATCTATACAATATCAGAACAATACAGAACTATATTGAAAAATATTTTGAAGGCAACAACAAAAAATGAAAAAAAAACAGAAGTTTGAAGTTGCGGAGAAATAAATGTAACAGCATTAACGTCGAAATAAAGTACATTAAAAATGCATGTTCAACGTTTTAAACGCTCGCCCGCCTCTTAATATCCTCCATCCCACATTGTTCAGAGAATTTTTTATTTTGTCAAGAACTTTTTGAACGAGTGAATTGTTTTTTTGTTGCCGTGTTTATAAGGCATTGACGACTCGTTTGGGCAGCATCAAACTTAAAAATGTTCCATCCTGAAACTTTTGTTGACTCGTCAAAATTATCGCAAATAATAAACACTTAAATTATCTCCATATACTTAATAATATTTTTGTAATATTTTAATTTTGTTAAATTATTAATTGATTCGTTTTTATCGTTTACGTGTTATTTCATACTAAACATGGAAAACTGCCCTCCTAAGTATTTTAAGAACGTAAGAAAAAAAACGTGGTGGAGCAGCAATCCTCAACAAGCGTTATAACTAATGGGATTAGTGCTGCATTCAATTTTTACATGCATTATTATGCTGGGCTTGCAGTTTGTTTCGAACTTTCGAATATGTATGGTAATCATGAAGTGATTCACACAGTTGTTTGAGTTTAGTTGGTTCTACGTGTGTGTGTGTGTGTGTTGTGTGTGTGTTGTGTGTTATGTGTGTGGTGTTGTGTGTGTGTGTGTTGTGTGTTGTATGTGTGCACGCTTATGTGTGAGTGTGCGTAGTTTGTAAAGGTTTGTGGGCTTGTGTGTTTAGATGTGCATTTGTAAGCTTGTGGATGGAAAATAAAATGCATGTTTAATATTTCGTTCTTTTATTCCTAAATGTTTGTTCAAACGGGAAAACCATTCAACTGCTTGTGCCCTGACGTGATGATTGTGAGTGCCTTTGTATGATGTTCGTGCAGTTCGGGTTTACGTGTACATGTACATGCAGATGAAGGTTCAAATATGGCTAACAATGCATCCGATTGCAATGTTCACCGTTTAGAAGGGCTGTCGTCTAGAAAAAACTTGAAAAAAGTCTTTTTTTATTGTAACACTATTCTGGTTAGTTTTTCTACTTGTAAAACTTGTTGTTGAATGAACAACAAAAAATTTGTTGAGTATTTTGTAAAGTAAATAATGAACTACGCAGTGTTAAAACGTGAACAGTGAACGCAAGCACAACTGAAGCAACAGGCATCGAGAGAAACAACTGATGCTCTTCAACCGAAACAACAAGCTTTGGCAAAATTTTTCAAAACCTCATTTATGAATAATAATAATTACAAATTTGGCGCCACTTGTCAGGCGCAGAGAGCAGAAAAATTTATAAAAAGAAGCGGTTAGTCTGGATTCAATAGTTATACTGCACTGGTGGTCAGCTGATGGTTATGCACTCATGTTCTCCGCCATACATTCACAACCAACAAACATCAGGGATCGTTTGTGTACGTGCAGTTACCAATTGTTGTTCATCGAATTATAACTTATGTGACTATTTTTGATTTTAAAAAATGAAAATGTTTATTTACACACACACACACAGTGTGTGTGCGTGTGCGTGTGTGTTTGTGTGGTGTGTGAATTGGAAACGGAAGCTATATATTTATAAAGACTAATCCAATAAAGACAAAATAGGAAAAAGTAATCGCTTTATAGAAAATTTTCTTTTGATTACTCCGTTTTAAAGAAAAGTGTTATTAAATTTCTTTGAAATATTAATTCAATCCTGATGGAAATATTAACGGGGAGAGAAGGAGAAGGAGGAGAATAAAATTTAATAACCGTTATGAATTGGCTATAAAACTTTAATAATGGAGAGAGTGGGTGAGTGGTGAGCAGTTGTAAGGACGTGACTTCAACGAATGTCTCAGGACTACCGACATGAAGCCAATCCAGTGACGGACTCAACATCAACATGCTCCACGCACTGTTCTAATGACGTGAAACAAACTTAACACTCTTATCTCGATAGGCCAACAACAACGCTCATGACTAACTATAAAGAGTTGAAACTTAATTCAGTACGTAAAATCAAAATATCAAACTGCCGAAGAAAGGAATCCATCTTCCAAATTTTAAATAGTTTAAACAAAATTTCAATTAAATTTTGTAAGCTAAAATTTTTAAACAGATGTACGTCGTGTTCCTCCACAAAACAAAACAAAAAACAACTTGGCAAATAAAATAAATTTTACTTCATAACAAGACAGCTACTGGTTCGTGATTTTTAAATCTTGCCATCTTTAAACAGCACCCAGAAAAATTTAACACTTGAAATTCAGAAAGCAAATCAAACGTTATCATTTAGAAAAGCATAAAACATAAAAACTTCCGAGAAAGGACATTACAAAAGAGTTTGCACAATGCAATTTAATATTTCAAGTAACGATGACGATGATGAATAGAGAAATGCATTCAAAACTGACTTTTAATATTTTTCACAATAGTCCAAATTTTTTCAATACTCCTAGCATATACTTTTCATTACAAAAATAACAAATAAAACCCAAGACCACCATTATTCAAGGGCAACCCTTTAAACCAACCCCGTCTCACTGGTTAACATTATAAAATTGAAACTGTTCGTCATTGTTAATTATCTATATTTTTAAATTAGAAAACCGTTGTTACATTTTTTTAGTTTGCATAAAGTTAGAGCTGCTACATATCAATTTATAAATTTTATAGCAAATTACAATTAGCCAGATTCTTGTAGTTACGATGGGATGGCATTCGAACAATGTTGCACTGATTAACAACGCAAGTCTCTTATTGTCTGAGCTAGTTCACTACCGTCAATTTTTTTCAAATCGAGATATTAAAAGCATCCCTAGTTATTAATAAGTGCCTCAACTTGTATTTGCCGTCTGATCGTAATAATATGTAAATGAGCCTGAGCATTTTGAAGATATAATTTGCAATGTTTTCAGCGTGTATTTGGAAGTAACATGGGCTGCAATAAAATATTTATTGCAACGTTCCCAACTCTGACACAAAAATCATTTCATATTAATTCCTATGTATGCCTATGTTTTTGATTGTTTGTGTCTGTGTGTTTGTGTGTGTTTGTATAATATCATGTGCGTTCGTATGTGTTGATGTCTGTTTGTCTGACTATAAACTTTGATAGACTTGTTTTTGCGAGCTTGGTAGCATGCCTATGAAAGCACTTGCATGAAAATTATAAAATATATTTCACAGTAATAAAAAAAATTGTACAACATCATAACGCTATGCTCTCAAAAAAAACATTAACGCATGTAAGCATCAAGCGATCTGGATGAATGAAATTATTAATGAAATGCGAATATTAATGCGATCCATGGTTCTGAGTTTGGAAGAAACATCACATTTGAAAATATAATTCGTATTTAATATCGTTGACATCACTGAGATGTTTAAGCCCTAAGTTGAACAAATATTGGTCGAGCAGACATAAGAAAGAAGGACTCGTGCAAGACCCGTTGCATAAGTGGTGAGAACATACAAGTATGTTGGCTTCTCGGCTGTTATTAAAACATAATAGTTCATAATGCTACTCTTTAACAAAAAAATATTTGGTAGATATATTAATTAAGAATGAAAAATCTTATATTAGAATTTAATATTTTATAATAACAAGTGATAAAACATTTTAGCACGCTGTGCGTAGCGGTGTGTGAGCGCCAACAAGGTACAATGATGTATAACGACAACTAATGCGGCTTTGAAAAGTTTTCTGAAGATAAAAAGTGTTAGATTACTGCTGGTTCGCCAGTTGAAGAGAGGTGGCAACAAATCCAAACGATGGGAACTGGCTGGAGGAGAAAGAACAGAAGATGAGGCGGACGAGATGTTGGAGATAATGATAATGACAAGTTTCCAGATCATTCTTCCGACTATTGGCAGCCGACGAAAACAAAAAATGGTGCAGTTTGGTGTTTTTACCTTTTAGTGTTGATTTTTTTTTCAGGCAGCGGGCTGATTTATAAGCATTAGTAAGTTTATAATTTAAACTTTTAAAATTTAAAACACCCATCTTGCACATCAAGCAAGCGCATTGCCATCTCAGTGGAGCAGCATCCAAACAAAACAATGACAGTCTGGGTAGGGTAGGGCTCGACAGTAAGAGATGCAGGCATCTGTGAGAAGTAGGCATCTTATGCTGTGTTTGATGTTTCAATTAATTTCCCGTATTTGATGTTTCAATCAATGTTTCTAATGGAAAAATCCTACAACCTTTTGCAATACGTTATTTTTGAATTTTTTGGATGAGATTTATTATTTATTTTTCAAGCAGAACGGGAAGATGTGATTGTGCTGCAAAATAAAAATCACAAAACTGCAAACAGTTCACGTATTCACACGCTGGACCTGGAATGTGTTCGGAGAAATTCTCTTAATACATAATAGAATTGATTTCATCTTTGATCTATTAGCCATAAAACATAAACTTTATTGTCGCACTGTTCCGTGCGTAACTGCACAATCAACAACCACAACAACCAACCACAACAACCACAACAACAACCACAACAACCAACCACAACAACCAACCACAACCAACCACAACAACCACAACAACCACAACAACAACCACAACAACCATCAGCACCATGAAGCATCACTGCATCATGCATAAAGCAAGAACGCTGGAATAATAAGTAACAATAAAAATAAAAATCTTGCAAAACATTTGCAGATGTGAACTTCCGTTACATGCACACAAATTATTTTAATTTTTTCAAAGGACAATGCAACTTCCTTCTTTACTGCGAAACTCTGACAAGCGCAAGATTGCTTGCACATGGTTCTTCACATCCTCATAGTTTACATCCAGAAAGGATGGTGCACATACATAGGCAGAACACGACGTCTGTACAACATTAAGGGCACGCGAAACATTTCAAAGCAAATTCAAAGCCTGTGTAGTCGCGCAGATGGTTTTCGAACCAGGTTCCAGCGCGAGAACAGGCATTACAAATATCAGCACTCACTCGCTACTTCTAACTTCTATTAAAAACTTCAGCTACATTTAATCAGTTAACAAAATAAGTAATCAAAACAAATCAGCTCATCCATTGTTTATTCACATCACTGCAACACACATTTTTGTTTGTATAAACATAAGTTCTGTACACACGTACAAACACAAGTTTTTGTATTCCCTTTACAAGTATGCATTTGGAACACTCAACGTGAACACACGTTAAATACAAACTCATATCTAACCACACAAGCATACGAAATAGCTTGCGAACAGAGTGTAAAAAGAAAGTGTTATAACACAATACAAAATGACAAAAAATATACAAATTCTTGTGCGATGGTGTATTAGAAGCACTAAAATTTTTCGTTGTAAAAATTGCGACCATGTGCATGAATGTACTTACTACCTACACTTCAATCAAAGACGCAAAGTGATTCACGTGTGAATAGAAATATGAAGTAGATTACTTTCCATAGCTGGTGGGTGTAGTAGTGTATAATGTGGCAGGCCCGTCAGACAAAACATGGAAAAGCACTATTGACAAGAAACATTAAAAATAATGAAGTCCTCGTGCCAAACATCCCTCCATTGTAAATACTTGGAAGTAAATATTTTATGCACACAAACTCACTTAATAATTTAAAGTGCTACGAGTTTTAAATTTCACATTTATGCTTCAAGCAAATTTCTCTTTATGATGATCTTCAAAGAAAATTTTATTAATCTGTTTTATTGTTGGTGGGAGATGATTGAAGCTGCATATCATTCAAAGTTTATTGCATAAAATGTTATTCAGTCGAAGTATATTGCAAAAACAAACACGCTAAATTAAAATTTTAATAAATTTAAATTGTAAATTAATGATCACCATTAACGTTATTGCCATCATAACCATCATCATCATCATCATCACCGTACTCATCATCATCATCATCATCACCGTACTCATCATACTCATCACCATGCAATCACAGACCAACGAACGAACCTTATGAGCGTCCCTCTTATCAGAGCGTTGACTCTGTTGGTAGATGCGGCTGAAGTTGGAGACGATGACAGGGACGGGCAGGGCGATGACCAGCACCCCACTCAACGAACAAATTCCCCCAACCAACTTTCCTGTTATCGTCTTCGGAACCATGTCACCATATCTGGCGGTGACCATTTCAACTAAAATAATCATTCAATCATTCAGGTGGAGCAGAGTGTCTACACGACAAAGTTTTACGTTTCAAAGAAAATTCTGCCAAAACGATTTATTTTCATTAAATAATGCACAAAAGAGTATCTAACGCACCAGAAGTTGCGCATTAACATTTTGATCAAATTGATGGATGCCATTTTCTACAAAATTATGACAAATAGTTTTCAACAAAATTTTATGCACACTTGGCGTACAAATTATTGGCAAAAAAAAACAAAAAAAATTAAATCCCAAAATATTTTTTTCTGAGTAAGGGCTGAAGAAATTTTCGGTGAAGCATCACATATCAAAATGCATTTCCGAAAAATATTTATTAGATCATTTTGAGAAAAAATAAAAAACTTTTTTGTGCAGGTGTTTTATAGTGCTGAAACGTTAAAAGCTCGTCATTCATTTATTAGATCGTTCATGTTACAAACGCACCAAAACCTGCCGATGAAATTTATACCATCTTTCTTTCTAAGCCTTATCCAAATATTTATGCATTTTTGCAAGAGTCAAATGAACAAGTCAAACAAACTCCATACAATTTTTTAATAAGCAAATCGTAAAGGAACAAAAAATGTTCTAGAATTGAACCAAGAATTATATCATTATTCTATGGGGAGCTTGGGTTTTTGTAAAAAAAAATTAAAAACTTTTATTGATTTTTCATATTAAAACTAGTATTGTGAATACAACTTCTACAGTTATGAGTGAGCTACAACAGTTAAACATTAAATTTATAACAAGATTTTTTAACTTTAACCCTAAAATTATATTCCAAATAATGTTATAATTATTTTTAATAAACTAAATTACTATGCACTGATATTATTGTTGATAATAAACTTGTTAAATTGATATATTGAATATTAAATTGATAACATTTGTAATAATTTAAAAAAATTAATTTATTTATTAAGATTAGAACCCACCCTAGAGTTGTCATAGTAACTATGGTGTACCAGAAGGCTTCAGGTATGCTTGTGAACTCTGTTTTAGGAACGTTCTTCTCGGTATAAAACATGACTGTTGCAAAAATAACAACCGCCATCGTTAATGAGAAAAGTAGAAAACCCAACTCTCGGGCACAACTCTTCAACGTGTACCCGAGAATGCGAAGTCCTTGGGAATGTCGCGAAAATTTGAAAACTCGAAAGACTCGAAAAACTCTCAGAGTGACAAAAGCACCGCTGAGCTCCTTGTTGTCCGATAATCCCAGTCCGACATAATAAGGAAGGATGGCAACAGCGTCGATCACGCTCATGACACTGGTAGCATACTTGAGTCGGTTCGGTGATGCGTACAGTCGAAGAATGTATTCCATGGAAAATATCAGGACACAGGCTGTATCGACGCAAAATAATTCAATCTCGAATCTTTCGCCGCACGATTGCGACTCCTCAGATTTTGCCAACGTAATCGTGGTTTCAGCACCAAACAGGTTCGGACAGGGCACCGTCTCCATTACGTTTGCAAGAACTGATCCAGCTATGAAGAAACCAGTCACGTAGTAAAAAACAAGACCTGAAAATGAGATCAATATTTTATTCAAGTTTGTATGCTGGTTTGTCATTTTTTCTTGTAATGTAATTTGCATTTTAATTCATTATCAATTATCATTATTGTTTATAACATGCAAATATAATTTGGTTATCTTACTTTTTTTGAATAACACCATTGGAGCACTATGTAACGACGTAATTAAAAATGTATCTCAAGTAATTTACATAAAAATAAAAAATTTAGAAAATATTAAATTGAATATATATTAACCAGAAGTGTTTGAATGTGGGTACTCAAAGGAATGCCACATTTTTTCCCTCAATGAAGCACCAGGAGGAAGTTGTTTCGTCTCATCACCACCTCCTAACCCTCCATCGGCAGAGTTTGAACTTAACTCTGAACTATCCCTCTTCCTATCTCTGTACTCTTCGTAACAACAATCGCCCATGGAATCAGCCGCAACCAAACCGAAGAAAGCCAACTCCTGATCAAATTCCTCTGGACATGCTCGTCGTGGAAAATGAACTTTACCTGTTCTGTAGTACGCTAATACGTATCTGATAGTTAAAAGAAAATTATATACATTTTGCTATTTTGTTTTTAGAAATTAGAACAAAACGAATTTGAAATCAGTTGGCATTTTTCCAAACCTGAACAGATCGGGATCTCTATCAAAAAAATATTCATCGTTCGTAGGATCATAAAAATATTCCTTTTCGTCGGAGCCCAGAAGGGAATCAGGAAATTTTTCCACTGTGTGTCTCCATGTTTCAAAGTGTGTGCCACTGACGTTGATGCGAAGTTTTGTGTCAATCCGTTCTTGATCGGATTTAATGAAAGGTGGAGGAATGGGTTTCTGAGCCAATGGTACCCAGCCAATTGCAGAAGCCCTCACAAATGGGAGCCAGGAAGCTACTGATGTCATCGAGATGTTGTTTCAATCAATGATGCGACTTTGTTTCATTTAATGATGTAACGTTGTTTCATTCAATACGACGTTCACTAGCAGTGATATGGTTGGTTTTTAAAATAGAAATGAGTTCTTTTCATAGCATAAACCAAAATAAATAAAAATTATACAATATAATAACTAAATGCATTAAAAAATTTCACTCAAGCAAAAAATTAAGGATGGCTAAAAAAATTTCATCGTGAGCGCAAACACGGGCCAAGTTTATGTGCGGCCTAAGCCCAATATACGTTCTTTTATTTTATGCTGGGTTTATACAAACCACAATATATAACAGCTATATACAACTGCTATATACAACTGCGCTATATAAC